AAAACATGGGACGTTGAACCCGAACAGACAGCGCTTTTGTGAAAATTATAAGATAAGAATAAAAGACGCCCTGTGGAAAATTCCTCCTAGACAACCTCGACTGGTGAGAAAAAGCTTATCTTTGGCTATTCGGGTGGATCTCGTTGCTAATGGAGGGACCTTCGTCGTGACCCGCAGCTGTACTCAAAGAGACATTTCGGAGGAGGCTCATCAATTGTCTGGGGTGGTTCAAAAGAAGCGGAAAATTGGAGTTGGCTTGCCAGCATGTCAGGTAGACAATTAGGATTATAATGAGGTGCTTGGATCCCGACTTATCCTTTTTCGAGAAGCCAGCGTCACAAAACACTTATTTGCAGCAAGCCCAAGGGGGTCCCCTACACGTATTCCATTGGAAACGCGAGGGTCTCGGGTGCTGGATTGGCTGGCGTATTCTCAGACCACATCGTTATTGAAAACGTAGGGGGATAGTGGTTCACTGCTTCTGCGCCATTGGAAGAAAAAGTAGTACCCCAAGTGACCTAACAAGTTGCTGAAATTAGCTGCTTGGGAAGAGTTCGACGAAACAGGTATCGGGAGCCTGGTTCAGAACATGCCGAACAAAATGTTTGAACTTATCAGAATCTTTGGTAGGCCTACCAGTCTTTGATTCTGAAGATATTTCTGTTTTTCGAAAAGTGTCCACATACTTTTGATACAGGGAAAGCAGGGGAAAGTTTTTCCATTAATTAAAAAATTTAAAGCTGCATGTAAAACGGTGAGAAATGAGAAATCTAAGGTTTTCGTATCCGAGAAATCGAATGGTGGCGATCTCATGTGCAGAAGTCAATAGTTTTCTAGAGAAGGATTACGGTATCCACATACTTTTGGTACGCACTGTACACGCCTTCTGCAGCATGCCACCTGAGGTAGGGTACCTCTCCCCCTTCCCCCTCACCTGCAACCAGGCTCTGATTCCATAGAAGGCACAGGCAGGTAAAGGCACGTTACATGTCTCGTACTCATGGCTTGGAGGTGCGCGAAAAAAAGCGGAGACTTGAAGCTGGCGCCAAAGTTCTTTAGCGCATGAATTGACGGCTGACGTGGTAGAACGCCTGCTTCTCGTACATGTTACCAGTTGGCGCCGCACGCATTGCGCGCGCAACACAGATCTGCGGCGAATTTTGATGGTGCGACGAAAATTTTCAAATTTGGCTTGATACACTGCGAATATCTGATAACTAACAAGTTAAATTTTTGTGTAAAGAATAAGAGGTGGTTCGTTTCGCCTCTTACTCAGACGAACCACAATTGTTTTTGTCAACCCAATGAATGTTAAGGGAAGACAAAAACAAATTAAAATTGAGAAATATATAAAGGAAGAAAAAGAAGGAGAAAAGTGAGTAAAGATATGATTGAAGAGAGAGATAGTGATTATTGTTTTTGCCAACCCTTGAGGCTCGTCAGTGAGTAGGGTTGCAAAAACAAAAAAGTATGAGAGATAGTGGTGACAAATAGATGTGAAAAGTTAAATTAGTAAATGAGTGTAAAGAAGTTAGATGATTAAAGAAAAGGAAAAGTAGAACTTAGAATAAAAGTGGAAAGGATGAAATGCAGAGGTAGAGAAAGAGAAGTTCAAGAGAAAGTTAATAAGAACAATAGAAAACGAAAGTAAATGCAAACCTCAATAGAAGGTGGAATAGTGGAGAAAGTGAGCAATTTTAGATACATATCCCAAAAACTTAAGTTTGATACCCAGCGCAATGTCAATGAATCCTTTAATTAGTTTGCAGCAGGTTATTATCGTATGTTATAACATACGGCAGACTAAACGATTGTAAAAAGTTTAAGATGGCTGAAACTAATGATAAGGAAGTGTGTTAAGAAGGAGGTTGTTGTAATAAAAGAATTCTTATAAGTAAATAGGAAAGGAAGAATAGTAAAGAATAAGTAACCTAAGGATAATTACATATAGGCTACTTCCTGAGTAAACTTTTTACTAAGCTGGATATTGTTTTTATATTGTCATTGAAGCCGAATCTATAACCAATGAATTTATTTTTGTAGATACATTTAATAATATTGGAATGTTAGTAAATTCTTCACTATATATATCACTTACATTATATAGAGGGTTCTCAATCATCTCTATCAGTTTTTTTTTGTGAAGCAATCAAAGTCACTACATGTTTTTTGCTATTCTTAGAGTGTCAGTATATATAACTGATGCCTTACTGATATCTGAAATGTTGGAAGCGGCATGGGGGAACCTGATAACTTTGAAACTGAAAACATCAGTTTTATTGTAGAGTTTAGTTGAAATTCTATTATTATGTATATTGACTGGTGAGATCCAAATAATTACAATTAAATTCCGGAGTATGTGTGGTTTTCAATTCCAGCATGTCTTTGTACACATTATCAAGAAATTTTTTTATATCCTCTTCGTTTTCGGGTGTTGGTTCCATAAATAACAGCAAATCGTCCATGATCTATAGAGTGTAAATAAGCACTGCTTATTATTATATTTGATATTTTCACTAAATCTTAACGTCCGATGTAAGAATGAGTGTAAGATCTGCTGAGAGTGGACTGAAATTACCACCTTGTGGGAACTCCTTTAGTTTGTTTAAAAATGCTGGTTCCTAATGAGCAGAAAGAGTTATTAAGTAAATGTTCTGTATAATAAATGAGGTCATGAATATTGTAATCGGTATTTGTTACTTTTCTTTTCCATCTGTATAGTAAACAACATACCCATTAGTGGTTATCATGTTTTTGTTTGAGTTTTTTAAGCACATATCAAGGATTTTTAGCATATTGTGAACAAACGACCTATGTTCAATATTAGTAAACATGTCAGTAAAATCTGCTGAGTATAATTTAAGATTATTTCCTTCTATGTTACTTAATTCTAAACTAATATTAATATCGTTAATTGACCAATAGGTTCTTATTGTTCTATTGCGTACTTGAATAACTTTGGTGTATTTAATAAAATGTCTTTTAATTTATTTATAAATAGTTTACAGCTCTAGAGCTAAGGGTTTTAAGCTACTATTATGAGCACCAATGATAAATCTGAATTTTATTGGGTCTTTATGTATTTGGGAATAGCATATATTACTGGTAAATCTGAGTTTACTATTGTATTAAGTTTGTTACGAACACAAAAGAATTTATGTTTGAGTATGAGACTATATTTATTATTACAATCTATGCGTTCATATACATTATTGGTATTACTATATTCGATAGCTCTAGTAATATTATTATAATTAAGGCCCATTTCTCTCATCATTATAAGCATGTATAATTTCTTACAAACAATACCATAATTGTTGCTAGCTTTATCTAAAGGGCAAAATATGAAATTGCTTTGATAATACTCTGAAGCTTTTTGAGATATAAACTCTTTTTTGATTTTTAAATTCTGATAAGTGAGAAGGGGTTTAATTCTATCATAATAGCAATTTGTGAGGTAATTTTTTATAATATTAAACTTATTGTTATTGATATTATATTTATTTCTGAAAAAGTTAACAACTTGATTGACAGTATCGAAATTGATCTTTTTCACATCTTTCCTGGTTATTACAGGATCAATCCTGTGTTTAGTTCCTCTTTGTATTATACTTCTTAGTCCAGGTTCTTCAATAATGCTGAGATCTCCAGTAATAACGTGACCAAGTTTCGTTTATGTATTCACTAAAATGAGTTCTGCAATTACAATTGTTTTCAATAATACCAGTTAGCTTTTCTATATCTAAGCATTTTAACAATTTAATAATTATATATTTTTCCGCTAACAGCACTACAATATTTATAAATAATTCTAATAGGGGTGTACTTTTTAAGATTATTGGTATTACAAAATATTGCTAATACGACTAGAGTTGAATATTCCGCAAAATCGAGTAACTATGACTTTAGCAATAAAATGTTTTGCAGAGCTAATCAAAGTAAACACCACAACAGATAATAAATATCATATTCCAACATGATAACATGCAAATAGCAACTGAACATAAAGGGAATAGATATAAATGAAGGGCGAAGGGAACTAAACCCCAAAGAACAGTCAATCACCTCTATAATTAATAAAAGGCGCATTAAACTTTGCTCGTAATTAAATTCTCTATTGTGTGCGGTTATGATAATGTAATGTATGAATATTAATAGTGTATGGTATTATTTAATTATTTTAATATATAGTATATGAGTATATATATAGTGTAATGATTATATATGTTTATGATATTGTATGTAATTATGTTACCGTATACACAAAATGAATGATGAGAAACCTCATGAGAGATAAACAAACCTACAATCGGTAAACTTACAGATTAATTGGAAGTATCCAATATAAGGTAGAACTAAGATAGTGATAAAACTTTAAGGCTACATAACTACATATCTTAGAACAACACATCCACCGTCAATATTCACATGTACTGGCATCAAGCAAGCTGAAGCAGTAAGGAGACAGAAAGAGGATAAGAAAGAATGGAAAAATCTAAACAGTCACTATATGATATAGTCCCTATCCGTCAAAACCAATTGGTGTTCCATACGGGTACATCTTCCAAGATGTCTGTTCAACAGGATCGGGACCATAAGGCGAGCAGAATAGAAAAACTTGCGCAGAAAATAGAAGATCACCCGTTGACGGAGACTTAGATCAGGTTAAAATAAAATCTAAAAGAGTCATTCCTTCAGGGTAAGGCCTTACTACTATAAAAAGACAACTTATTTGCCAATGCGTAGCCACCTCCACGAGTTCCATAGTTAATGAAATGACATAGGACAAGTACAAGTTTAACCAGTAAAGTAGCCGAGGTGTATGCCACGGGGACCAAATGTATCAGTCAAAATACTGGTTCCTGCTCAATATTTATTGGAGTCAGAGGATTTACATACTATTTTTCGAGACACTTTCAAGATAAGCTCTATCCTCATTTATACTACAACTCATATCTCTCGGGCTGTCTCAACCGCCAGGGGCAGACACCCATAATTACCTGCCAAGAGAATGTGACTCTGGGAGACGCTGGCTACCCATAACGGATGCACACTGAATAATTCATCTTTCAAGCCCTATAAAAATAGAAATGCAATTAATTACTTTACAATATTAAAATTATTAATGAGAAATAGAATTAATGCTGGTTCCAAACTATATTATACGTTGATCGAAAATCCTAACAATTATTTGGAAAATCATCAATAGAAACATTGCTGAAAATTGAAATACTTATCCATACTATGTTTTTATTACATATTAAAATACAACATAACGTGGTGAGAGTGAAAGTCCAGAGACCCTCAAACCAGGCGGAGTTCCGTCGATCGCGACCGAAAGAGAAAAGGGGACACCGCGCGAATAGTTGATATCAACAGAAAGATTTTATATGTCATGAAAGTTCACAGTCTAAGGAGTCAACTAGAATCATAATATATCCGAACAGGAGACACTAAAGAACCGCTAACCCCTGAAGGATCAAAGGGCTCACCTGACCTATCAACTCAAACACATGTCAACCATATTTCATGGGACGAGATCCGTCCACTTTAGAAGGCTGTCGGTGCTGCAAGTTAGGAACCCACCATCTTTTTTGAAATATTTATATTTTAAATCCTTAATATTTGAATAAGAATCCATTTGGGACATGATTCTTGCCAAAGTTATTATATTTAGTAAACCTGGACTTTCACCAGTCTAACAACTCTGAAAGCATTCAATCTACAAATTATATGCTATTCAACAACAAGTTCTCCCACTGGCGATTTTTAGAGCCTTCCCCAAAAGCTGCCCTGATTTTAAAGCGGAAAGTTCACAGACACATATTATTCGAAATCGTTGATGCCTAATAAGGCAAGTAAGTCAATGTTCTTTAATTTTCTTTTGAACGTATCGGTGTTTTGTGCCAGTTGCAAGTCTGAAGGTAATAATTGAAGCCATCTCGCTCCGCGAAAGCATAGCGAGTTAAAAACCTGAACCTGATGATTTCTGTATAATCTAGGACATTGTAGTGATAATGAAGTGATGCGACCTCTGCTCGGTCTCGCTCAATTACCAGCATCTGGTCCAGCTGAACCTTTCAACAATTTGAAACAAATACGATATTCATGAATATCTCCTCAAATGACCACGCAATAGCTAAGTGAGATTGACAAACCACGCCATCCTTCATCCACTTATTTCCGATTTGGAGAATAGTTGTTTGAGCCCGTAACTCCCTTGTACCTGCGCGTCTTTTTTTCTGTTTGCTTTAATGTACTCGTTTGTTTCGTCTTATTTCCATCTACATTGCCTTGATTTTTGCCTAGATACTGTTTATTAAGCCACGAATGCTCTGAGCATCTAAATATATAATTTTTATGATAATATAATATCCTACCCATGAATACCTCTGGCCCGCTGTTAGCTTTTACACTTTTACAACCCTCGAATCGCTCGAATGCTGAATGTGCCAATAATCTACAACTAATGTATGCTATACGAAGTTATTACGCAAATAAGCAATTCTCCTTGAAAGATGTACCCATTTCGACACTCGCATGGCAAAAATGACCACGCAATAGCTAAGTGACATCGACAAACCATACGCCATCCTTCATCCACTTATTTCCGAATTGGAATAAGACCACGAAATGTACCTTCGTACATAGTTCTTGGGTTAATTTAATTTTCCAAATCATGGGGGGGCACGCTTTTGGAAACTCTAAAAATCGCCAGTGGGAGAACTTGTTGTTGAATAGCATATAATTTGTAGATTGACATTGCCTTCAGAGTTGTACGATTGGTGAAAGCTCAGCGTTAAACTAATATTAATAACGTAACTGGGCAGAAATCCCAGTCCAAAAAAGTGGATTCATATTCAAAAATATTAAGGATTTAAAAAAATAAAATATTCAAAAAGATTGAGTGGCGATTCCTTAACCTGCAGCACCGACCAGCCTTCTAAAGGGCACGAGCTACTACCGTCCATTGAAAAAGGTGACAGTGTTGTGGTCTGAGGTCAGGCTGAGCCCAGCATCCTCAAGGGGACGACGGTGCTATAGTGTCTCTGTTCCGATATAATGACTCTTCATTGACTCCTAGCTGGAACTCATGACAAATTAAAAATCATTTCTGTTGTCATCCACACATTCGCGACGGCGTCCCTTTTCCACTTTCGGTCGCGTGGGACGGACGCGATTTTGTGGGCGCCGCCCTCACCACATAACCGCAGATTTTGTTTTGTAAATGAACAAAAACATGAATGTCACAAAATAATTTCTGCAATGTCCAATGCGTAAAGATTATCTAAACATATAACAGTAGGATTTCGATCAGAACGACAAATAGTGGTTACGAAAAGAGAGCATTTATTCACTTTCCCCGTGAAGGAATTTAAAAGCATTTAAACAATTTAACAATCTGCCATTCCATTCATAGCGCCTGGCAAGCGATTATCAGCTGGCAGCCCATATGGGCTGCCATCGTTCCACGAGCACAATTCCTTGGCAGGTAATATGGGCTGCTGCCGGCGTGTTGAAGACAGCGAGCGCAATGAGTTGTAGATAAAATGAGGAAGAGCTTATACTGAAAGGCGCTGGAAAAAATAGAGGAAATTCTCCGTGACTCCAAGAAACTAGATCCAGATACCAATTTTTGACGATACCAGATTGGTCCCCCGGCAACCACCGGGACCTCCTTACCTGCGTAAGCTTTACTCCTTCCAATGTGCTCCCATCCACTGGTGACATGGACACCTCGTGGAGGTGGCACGCATGCACAAAAAAGTGTCTTATATAGTAGAAGGCATTACCGTAATCGTGACATGACCTTAGAATTATATTAACCAGATTAGTCCCCCGTCAACCGCCGGGACCTTCCTTTCCTGCGCAAGCTTTCTATCCTCCGCTATGGTCCCTTCCTCCTGTGACACCAACACCTCCTGGAAGTGACGCGTATGCAACACAATGGTGTTTCATACAGTAGAAGGGACACAATCATGATATGACGGTAGATTTTTCGCTTCCCTTCCTCATCCTCCCTTCCTCTCTCCACTGCCCTCCAGCTGCCACTGCAGCACCATGTGGAATGAACGGAAGTGTGCTAAGCAGGTGTTTATATAGCCCTAAGAGTGTTATCACAACTATCCTGCTACAAAACATTGATATCTCAAATCCTGTAAGCTACCCGATTTGTTAGCGGTTTGTTTATCCCATGAGCTTCCTTCTCACTCACTTCATTTTGCGGACGGACACACATACATACATACATACATACACATACATACACACACACACATACAGACACACAAACCGACACACAAAGTTAGCGCTTTATAAAATAGAAGGATTACTCAGGTCTCTTGGCGGTTAGCTCCCCTCGCCCTTCTCCATCTTATCCTATTCCCTCTACTGCTCTCCAGCTGCTATTGCAGCATCATGTGGAATGAATTTATATAGCCGTTGGGGTGTTATCACATTGATAGCACTGCAAAACATTGATTGCTAAAGTCATAGTTACTCGATTTTGTTAACGGTCTGTTTACTTCACGAGTTTCCCTACCACTTCATTTTGCGGACGGACACACATACATACATACATACATACACACACACATACAGACATACAAACCGACACACAAAGTTAGCGCTTTATAAAATAGAAGGATACCGTTAGCCCGTATACCCTTTATCGGAAAACGGGAAGGGAGTGAAACTCCAGGGGGGGGGCACTCCATTGCTATCTTATCCGTAGTACTAGAGAGCAGTTCTTTGGGCTATCGAACACTACGGATAAGATAATAAGTGAACGACTCATTTCGAGCGTACTTTTGATAAGGACCGGTGGATGTCCTACATTCCACACTACCTGCCCACATCCCATCCACTTTTCTGCACAGGTGATCCACCCTGGAGCTCCTGCACCCTTAGCCCTTTGCGGAGGTGTCCTTTCTCCTGGTCCAGGACCGTTCCCTTGGGTCATGGCAGGCGGAAATGTGAAAACGTTTCAGGGTTTCTCACCCATTACACCAATATTTATCAGAAGTCTACTTTAAATGAGTCGATTACGTGTCGTGAGCCCTCTAATCCTTATCTTGAGTATTGGAGAAAAAATGGAGTGGCCCCCCCCGAACTGGAGTTTCACCCGGGAAGAGTGCAGATCACACATCCCAAGTTACGACGATCAGGAAAAATGAGAAGAAAAAGCTACTTCCTTTAGCGGTCGTCGTCACTTGTAGAGCGTGGACTATTTTCGACGCTTTTCTAGTCTCCCTAAATAGAGCGTACTTCATCGCGTGCCACTTTGTAGTTCATTGATGCTTGAAAAAAAACGAGATGCACGAACCTTACGGAATTTCCAGTTTTTTTTCTCGTTCAATTTTTTTGTCATTAAGTGGTGTAAATTGAAGATGGAGCAAGCTTTTAGCACCCGTGACTCGCTCTCTTGAGCCGTAGAAAAGGCACGACGTCAATGCGTGACTGATGGTCCATCATGAATGAGGGAGGAACAGTGTGCCTAATCACGGACCGTGTCTTCAAAACAACTCATGAACTAGGCGAGCAGAATATCATTCTCTATATGAAAATCCCAAGATACCCTTAGCACCGCGTATCATAGTCTGTATTGCATCCCTCACATTAAAGGAATCCTCCACGGAAAAAGCTCCGCCCTCATTACCACAGAAAACGATACCTTAAAGGAATCTTCCACGGAAAGAGTGATCATTTTGTCTTGTGTGTAGGATTAGTATTATCGAAACTAACGCTTATGTTCCGTTCTTTTTGCTATGCTCATGAGGCTAGGGGCTAACAGGAAGGTCTTTCAGGGTGTGCCAAGCTTTTTCAAAACGGTCTTTTGCATGATATAGGGGCACATGCGGGAACCACAGAACCATGGTTAATTTTTCCTGAACGGCCCTCTGAATACCAGAAAAGGGGGTCCCTAGTCACACCTTTTTCACCAGTTTTTCAATCAAAGTCTATTTGTAAGGGTTACTGACGGTCCTAATCATGAATTTGGTACTAATTATTCATGCTAACTCCATTTTGCGCGAATTTTGAAACGTCAACTCGAAATGCAAAAATTTGTCACCACGAGGAATCGAACTAGGGACCCCTTTTCTGGTATTCAGAGAGGGCCGTTCAGGAAAAATGAACCATGCTTCTGTGGTCCCCATATGTGCCCCAATGTCATGCAAGAAACCATTTTGAAAAAGCTTGGCACACCCTGAACGACCTCCCTTGAATAAAAATTAAAGGATAAAGCATTTGCCGTTGATCAATCCCTTTTGGGATGCGGCACGCATTCTACTTCCATTTGTACATTCGTAGTGGCGTTTGAATGCGATGTGGCCTATACAATGACTTGCGGGGGCCAGCCGATGTACAAGTCAGTGTTTTTATCCTCCCAGACAACCAATTAACCGACCCCGGAGGGATGGAAGGCTTGGTTGGCCCGGGCGACTCACGACCCAGGATTTGATCCCCGGACCGCTCGCGTGGTAAGCGTGCCACTTGCCACTACACCACTTCCGCCGTGATCTTTTCAGTAGTAGCGGAAAATCATCGTCTTGTTTATCTGTGCTCATTTTATTTTCACGTAACTGCTACCAAATAGTTTGGGATTAGTGAGAATGCATCAATACGAGAGATTTGGATGGTTCAGAGTGCAAAATGTAGAGCGTTCTGAACGTTGCCAAATGACTCACGCCGCATTGCCAAAACAATTAAAAACGAGGTTTTGATTGCAGAGCAGTGCACGAAGCGAACCCTATTGTGTGCTCTTTTTTCTTACACAATTTTTGCAGAGCTTTGGCTGGACGTTACTTTTGCTGGTAATCCTTTTTCTTTCACCCCTTTCACATGAAACGCAATTCATTATTTAAACAGAATGCAGCAATATTGGGAAAAGAAAAACGCATTGATGAACTCATGAAGTTTGGATGAAGCCCTCGGTTCATTCAGCTCACCCTAGTTTATAAAATGCTACGAAGGCCGTAAATTCATTTTGACAGTGAAGAACTGCGCTCCCTAACGCTCATAACGGGCTGTATGTATGTACGGTGGTGGTGAAAAATAATAGCCGAAAAGGTTTCTTTGGTCCAGGGCCAATGGTTAATGCCTGGACCACACTGCATGCAAATATAACTACGATTTTGAATGGCTCTTTGAAGTAGGTGGGTTAAGCTTTTTCAACATATTGCAAACTGTGCTTCGCCGGGAATGCACGTTTGAGCTCTCCTTCGAATTTTTCCATGACATTAGTGAATTCACCTTTCGGCAGCCCCTGATCCACTGAACACGTGGCTGCTCTCCATCCTCACTTCAAATAAGTTTTGGAAGTTTCAGGGTTGCACGACTAGCGTCTCAGTTTGAACCTAAAAAACTGGTTACCATCAAGCTATGGCGGCTAACAACAACTGTACACACTTTTTGATGAAAACCGAGCACGAAAACAGTAAGGGGCAAAAAAACGGGTAAGTGTTACAATAGTAGAAGGAAAAAACAATAGCCGGCGTATGACGGAGCTCTCTGGGATGCGCCCGTTACAATAGACTTGAACACGTAGTAGCTCCTTTGGCGACAGTGGCACCTATCGTTCGGGGCCACTGGATCTGGCGCATGGGACAATGGCACCTAGTGTTGGGTGCACCCTTACAATTTTTTCTTATTTACACTTTTGAAATATTTTCAACATACCAGAAATTGAAAGCAAGTTTAATAATATCCATTGTTATTAATGGTTTACAGAAATCTTCAATACGAGCTAATTAATGTGGAATTTCAGAAAGTGGCATTTAGCTCGTAGGCATAT